TACAGCTTCTGAATGACCCTCCCATCCACTCCTTAATCTTAACACTTTCTCTTTTTCTTTTCTTTTACCGTACATACTCAAGTATAAGTCGACCCGAATATGAGGCCCCTAATTTTACCCCCAAAAACTGGGAAAACTTATTGACTCAAGTATAAGGCTAGGGTGGGAAATGCAGCAGCTACTGGTAAATTTCTAAATAAAATTAGATCCCCCAAAAAATTATATTAATTGAATATTTATTACAGTGTGTGTATATAATGAATGCAGTGTGTGTGTGTTTGTGTATGTGATGCAGAGTGTGTAACCTTGGTGGGGGGTGGGCATTTTTATTATTTATTTTTTTATTATTATTTTAATATTACATTTTATTTTTATTTTAATACTATTACATTTTTATTTTATTATTATTAAAATTTGTATTTTATTTTTTTTGTCCCCCGTCCCTGCTTGATACATGGCTAGGGAGAGGGGCTATACTGGTGGTCCAGTGGATGGGCTGTGCAGGAGGGGGGGCTGTCAGGAAGTATTTACTTACCTTTACAGCAGCTCCTGTCAGGTCCCTTTTCCTCTGTGCCGTTCAGCTCCACTGTAAGTCTCGCGGTCTGCGTACTGCGCAGAGCGTTGCCACGGTAACTGACGGTCGCGGCTCTCGCGAGACTTACAGTGGAGCTGAACGGCATGGAGGAAAAGGGAGCTGTAATGAGCCCGGCGGTCCTGGTCTGTATTAAGGCAATGTAAGTTGCCATAATACAGACATTGACTCGAGTATAAGACGAGTGGGATTTTTTCAGCACAAAAAATGTGCCGAAAAACTCGTCTTATGCTCGAGTATATACTGTACTTTACTTTTCTTACTCTTGGTGGGCCCTCTTTATTTACAGGCTACCGTATCGTCAATCTCTGCACACCACAACTGACTTGCTCTTTTATACTATCCTAAGTTCTTACTTGAACCTTACTCCATATACGGCTATTTGCCCCTTACACAAATATATATATATATATATATATATATATATATATATATAATATTGAAAAAGAGATACACACTCTGCGGTCTTTGTCAAGTGAAGTGATATTTTAATCCATATACAAGTTTACGTACATCCGATCGACATTTCGACTCATTCGGGTCTTCCTCAAGATCCATCTGATACATCTTTTTCAATATTTTGTATATTTTCAACGTGGGATTGCCCCAGGGCATCAATTTTTACTTTTGTATGGACAGAAAGGGTGAGTGCCAAGCTATCTATGTGTGTGTGTTTATATATATATATATATATATATATATATATTTATATATGTGTGTGTGTGTGTGTGTTTGTGCTGAACATAAAAGTAGAAATATGTAAAAGGTAAGTGTATAATGAACAAAACAACAGAGAAAAAATATATATGAGAAAACAATATAAAAATATGTAAAACATGCATGATAGAATATAGACATGGTAAAATAGAAATAACAGCACAAAAGAATATTAAAATGATCAAAGTCTACATTTAACCCATGAGTGGTAAGGGTGTCTAGGTCAAAGACCTATCTCATTTCTCTTCTCAATAACTATTCATCATATCACCACCTCGACATGAGGGTGTAATTTTGGCTATGGCGCAAAATTTTAAAAATATGGGGTCCTTGTTAAGGATTAAAAAATGTTTGCATAATAAGTGGTTGATAAAATCTTTAGAAATGTTCCTGCAGTATTTGGCTAGCCTGGTTTTAAAATTTATGGTGGTCATGCCTACATGACCACAAGAAATAATTAGCATATGGACAATAATAATGCCTTGGTGTTTGATCTAACAAATAAATTTTTTAGAATTACATGTAATTAAATCTTTTGGGAATGGTTTGATTTAAAATTCAGTGTATGTGTGTTGTTCTGATCTGTTGATTTACAGGCTATGCAGGCTTTCATTTCGAAATGATTCTGTTTTTTTCTTTTCTCTCATATAGTTTTAGTAAGAAACGACTTTAGTTTGCGGGCACCCTAAAAATATTAGTAGGTTGTTCCAGATGAATATTTGTGACGGATTTGTCTTCGCTGAGAGTTTTCCAATGTTTTTTAAATATTTTTTTTCATTTTATGGCTTTCATTGGTGAAGTATGATAATGGTGACTGAGAGGGTTATTTTTGGGGGGCTGTTTTTTCCTTTAACATTCTTTTGAGAGAATTTGCTTACTCAGTGCTGCAGTTTTGCTTAGATGGATAAGTTGGCTTTTCGGTAGAGGCAGCTGGGAGGATCAATAAAAGTGTGGGCTTTAAAAAAAAAAAAAAAAGTTTTGCTGTTGAGTTTATTATTGTCAATATATAAATATTGTAACAGATCGATGGGCACCCTGACTGGGTACCTCCGTTGAAGGATGCTCCTAGCGGTTTCCAGCATTCCAGCAGACATCATAACCACCGTGGACTCCTTCAGAGAGCAAAACAGGAACAAGCTCTTACAAGAGCTTAGCAGTGAATATAGCAAGAGAGTATGCAGACTCCGCCAATAAGAGACGGCACTCCAAATTGAGGGTGAAGTAGAACTGCCAGAGCTGTGGGTTTATTGTTCTTATATACACATTCTCACACATTAGTACCACCCACAGGGTTTTGTAAAACAACCAATAAACATGTACAATACACTCAGATACTCCCACACAAAATCCTCCCCTCTGCCTGTGATACAATAACCTTACACAATGGGTTAATGTAATTATCACAGGCAGAAAAATACACAGTTTTACACAATATTCATAACTTTAAAAGTATGCATCACATTCACATAAAACTTAAATTTTCAGAATCAGCATACAAATACAAACATACGTCAAAATCATATAAATTGGTCCAGTGGGTCAAAAGTTAGATTGAAGTCCTTTGTGACCAAATGAAGCATGGCTTTTCTGCCCAAAACCTGTTCCACAGAGTCTTCTATCCTGGAGATAATTGGGAAGTAATCCAATTATCTCCAAGGACAGGGGCAAAACTCCATTAGCCACATGGTAGCAAAAGACAATAAAATACATAAATATATATAACTGTGCAGCTATTGCATAAAACAGGTACATTCAACATATCCTCAGATAGCTTAGATCTGAGCGCACATTATTACTGAATGGCGCTCAGATAACATACATACAGTTCAATTGCCATGGAGCCAAAGTCTTTCACATAGTCTTTCGTTATACAAATGGGCTCCATGGCATAGCTATCTGGGGTATCACTGTTCAAATAGGGAAAGTACCGAATGACCTGGCTTTCGGGTCTTTGCAGGGGAAAATCAAGCATTTCAACATGGGGCCATAGTCACAGGGCAGAAGGCTGGCAATCAGTTTTCTCCAATGCCCGGTGGCCAGGCTGGTTCCGCCACAAATATCAAGGTCTACAAATTGTAAACTGGATGTGCTAAAATCAGAATGAAGAATGATTCCTCTATTTTTGGCGTTTAAGAAGGTGATAAAAATCGCTAATATCAGTGTGACAGACCGCCTGGCACCCTGACCGGGTACAACTGTCAATCGCTGCTTCCTTGTACTTGCAAGCACCATGAGCACTGTACTGGAACACCATAACCACCGTAAACCCAACAAACTGCCGTAGCTTGGTTGGGGTCTCACTGTCCTCCACCCACCCTGGACCCAAGACCAGGATCCAGCTTCCAGTGGATAGACCTCTCCTAGTCCAGAGAGCGTAGCAGGAACAGCTCTTATAAGAGCTAGTGAGGGCGCACCATGAGGAGAGGGGCTGACAGGAGGGAAGCGCTCAGCGCTCCCTCCTGTCTCTCCCTCACTGTAGCGTGGTCGAGCCCTGTATGGCCGCGGGTACAGGGAGCATCTGTCTCCTGTACCCGGCCGGACTAACACTCAGTGTACACTTCCTTTTAGTCTGGCCAGGTACAGGAAACAAAAGCTCCCTGTACCCGCGGACCATAAAGAGCTCGGCCACCCTACAACAGAGGTAGGGGAGGAAGAAATTGACAGGGGGAGAGAGAAATTGACAGGGGGGAGAGAGAAATTGACAGGGGGGAGAGAGAAATTGACAGGGGGAGAGAGAAATTGACAGGGGGAGAGAGAAATTGACAGGGGGGAGAGAGAAATTGACAGGGGAGGGGGGAGAGAGAAATTGACAGGGGGGGGAGGGGAATGACATCCATCACACACAAGAAATGCAACCCTTACAGATGCACACAATGTATTCCTTACACACATATCAGGACATCCCCTACACACTCCACCCCCTGTGAACAAACTCATTGGTGGAACATGAAGGTGGACCCTGGGACCCAGACCTTGAGCTGTGTAAAGGGCCCCCCAAGCATGGAGCTGCTTCCCTTTCCCCCAGAACATTGATTTTTGTGACCACAGTTACAACCAGCCTCCAGAGAGCCTGTTCTACACCAGACCAGTGGAGCCAGACTGCAGCTAGAGCCCATCATCATCCTCATCTGGTTGTAAGTAGGCAATCTAGTATATTATTCGTGGCATTAATCTCTAATTTACCTCACATTAAATAAACACTATAGTCCCCAGAACCACTGAAGCTTAATGTAGTGGTTCTGGTGTCTATAGCCTGTCCATGCAGGCCTTTTAATGTAAACACGGCGGCACTGCAGCACTGGCGTTAGTTAACATGGCAGATCATATGGGTGGGGCATTGTGATGTCACATTGGGGGGGCGCAAACTTTACTTTTGCCTAGGGCGGCAAAAATCCTTGGTTACTATGTAACTATGAAAGTATGCTATTTAGTTAGATCTGGAAGGGTGATCCTGTCTTCATTTACATGGAGCCTTCAGATAAACCCACCATCATCTGACTTTATACTTTAGTAGAATCATTCCCTCTCTTTGTCAAACATATAGTAAGAATTTTTTTCAGCATGATCCAAATATCCTTCAAATTAGTGTACAAAGTCTACTTCAACTACTTTCACATCTTCCAAGAACAAAGGCAATACTGTCTATGGATGGTATAGTTGATCATGTCTCTATATGGTAAACTGTGGTACCACTCGTGTGATATATTTGATCACATGTAAATGTGGTATCCAATATATTGGAAAGACGTATCAACCTTTTCGCCGCAGAATTTTGCAACACATTAACTCTATCAAAAACATCATAAATCCAACACCTGTGGCAAGACACATTAAGAACTTCCATCAGGGAAATGTTGATAATCTCAGGTTTCAAGCAATAGAAAAACTATTACCCAATCCCAGAAAGGGTAATTTCAATCAACAACTTTTACAAAAGGAATCAAAGTGGATATATTCTTTTAGGACCTTAACTCCACAAGGGCTCAATGAGGAGTTCAACTACACACCATTTATACACTGACAAATTATTTCTAATTTAGGTAGGTCCAAAATTATTTTTAAATTATTTTCAAATTATCTTCAGTTTTTCGAGTCAGCACTGATTAGGATAAAACTCTTTTTCTATGACAACATTACATGGATACTCTCTTATAAATAAAAAACAAAAATAAAACAATCTTTACTATTCAACACTAACAAAAGAATAATGTATACTATACCATCTAAAAAAGCGCTCTTTTTATTTATCTATATATACCTTTATATTAGCCCTTTATAGATGCTCATTTGATCTTAGTGTATTGAATAACTTATTTTCTACACTTCATTCAGTTTTATAAATACAAATTACCAACAGATTCTCTCCAAATCACATTAGAGAATCTTTTTGTCCTTAGCTGACCACCATACACAGTCAGCTACCCAGGCATGACGTCATCTTTTTGAACCACCAATCAGACAATAGAGCGCCTTATTTAAACCCCAGCCGATAGCTTCACAGTTCCCCTTGAAAAGCCGCCTTACCGGCGAAACGCGCGTCGGGGTTGTAGGAGATTTCTATCCTCCGATCTCAACCTTAGCCTCATATTTTTAGATCGTATAATTTCTGTTTGGATTTACTGTAAGAATTGATTCGACTTATAGATGGTTAGGTTGAGTGTATGCTGAGACTCTTCACAAATGGATGTTGTAGTGAAGTTTAGTCTCTCACCACGTGTATCAAGACATTTAACTCATATTCAGTTTTGATCTGCATATTGTAGTTAGCTAGCGCAGCTTCTTTACCTAGAAGTAGGTGCCCTCGAAGGCACAGTAAGACTCTTTCTCTTATATAGCGCGATATTTAATCACTCGAATTCATGCAGATTGTAGTTAGCTAGCGCAGCTTCTTTACCTAGAAGTAGGTGCCCTCGAAGGCACAGTAAGACTCTTTCTTTTATATAGTGCGATATTTAGTCACCCAAATTCATACTATCATATCAAGTGAAGAGAAACTATATATCTCTTTAGCTGTGACCTGAGGGATTTGTTAAACACTTCTGGCGATAGAGAATTTTCTAGCCGTGATTTTACACTCTCGTATCTATTGGGGTATATACCAGCTAGTTGTTTGAAGTCTGACTAGACAGCCCAGTGTTTTCTGTTTAGAGGCAGGTGCCATCGAAAGCACAGTAAGATTCGTTCCACTATACAGTATAACAATATTCAATAACTATACTTTTTTGTATTCTATGTAAATTATACTGAGTGAATATCATACGTTAGCTAACCAGCCAGACTGACGAGGATCTCTTTATAGACCCTTTTTCACCCCATATCTTCTGAACGAATATGAGTACATAGTAGGGAGTCAGACTGATAAGGATTCTCTACGGATTTGTTTTACTGCATATCTCCTGTTCTAAATACGAAATCTAATATTAGACGGACTAAGCCTAGACCCATTAATCGAGTACAGATAAATTAAGATTCAGACTGTGCAAAACAATGCAGACTTTTGTCCGTCTATACTAGATTCAGCAAGTGATCGAGATAAAACAAATTTATACATTACGATATTTGGCAACATGAATTCATATCCAGCTGGTACTTTCTATCCAAACATCCTATTATAACTATATAGTTACAATATATTTAATGCTAACTTTGATTCTGTGCCAGTAAGTACGATCATTTGTCTGTATTTTTTCCTACAAATCTTTTGTGGGAAACTGAGGTTTTTATAACCAACATTTATTTATTTGTCTTTTCTTTTTCTTTTTATATTTCCTGTTCACTTTATAGACTTTTCTAATAAAAGTTACGTTTTAAATGTAATATATTAACAACATCTCTTTAGGGCAGTGTTTCTCTTCTTTTCACTATATCATGTCTCTATACATATGTACAGTGTAATAGGTTGACCATTTTACTCTGCATCCTAAGAACTACCTTCAGCAGAACATATCTGCAGATCAAGCTTCTACTATTTCTTCTGTTTCAGTGACCTGTCTGACATTATTGCATTGGTCAAAATTTAAAGTTTAAATTTGTTACATTTTTGGCTTTGTGATATTTTGACTTGTCATTTGTGGGAGCTTTCATTGCCTGTCCTAACTGAATATTGAGTCTGAACATATGCTGCCAGCCCTGACCTATGGATACTGATTTTGCATATTTTTAGAAAGCTCAGTATTGTTTACAGAGCCTAAACCTGAGAAGCCAGAGGGTCTAATTTACATGAGTGTTTATCTGAATCTGGGTTCCAGTTACAAAAAGGTGCAATCATGCAACACAACCCAAAGAAAATACAGGCCTCCAAAAATAACCCTTCCAGTCCCCATTATTACGCTTCACCAATAAAAGCCATAAAATGAAAAAAAAATAATAGAGAAGAAAAAAGTAAAGTTTACACTCAGAAGCTTGATAAAACTGACACATATTCACACTCCATATTTGATTTTGTTTGCAAATTGATGGTCCAAGAACATAACTAAACAAATACAGAAATATTCAAAATATCTACCTATAGATATAACCTGTGAAGGTTCACCTCATCTGTAGCGGATAGCACCAGGCGACCCTACAAATATACTGTTTTTACCTGCATTCGTGTATCTGCTGTATTTTCTATGTATTAAAAAGAATTGTATTCCTCTGGTTGTTCGGTAGTTTCATTCCCTTAGTTTATTCGAATGAAACTACCGAACAACCAGACCTCCCCTGTGTGAAGTGTGTCCTCAATTACCCATTGCAACATTGTTGCGAACGGGTAATTGAATAGTAAGTAGCCGTCCTTTGTTCTCGGGGGTGGCCGCCATTCGACAAACGAACACGTGGCGGCGGCCATTTTAAAACTCCCGAACAGCGGTGTTTTGCCGTCGAGTGTCTGGAACTAAAATCGGACACTCGAGTAGGCGAACACCGCTGAGACCTCCACAGCCCTGGTCCGTTCGGTTCCAAACTACCGAACGGCCCCTCGTTCGGTAGATAGAAAATACCGAACGAGGGGATTCAGGCGAACCCTCCCTAGCCTCTATAGCTAGAGGCTTTCGTGTATTTTGTTCCCTTATGCCAGGACCGACCGCAGGGCCCATTCGCATGGAACCTTATTCGGCTATATCAGTTAGTGCGGTCGGTCATTTTATTCCCTCCATACATTTCCCGAACCCCTGGTCTGATCTGGGTGATTTTTGGATATGTTGTTCACCCAGATCAGGGGTATCCGGGGATGTAGGATTTAAAGAGGTACCCCTACGTTTAGGGGTACATCCAGAAACGGGGGGAATTGGTGTGCTGGATAAGGGGATTATGATGCTGGCTGAGGGGAGGAGATGTGTGGGAGGTTACCAGGACAGGATTGGCTAATGTAATAATTACTGTAAATCCCTCCCTTGCATGGGAGCATGCTTTATAAGGAGACTGTGATTAAAGGCTTGTCAGTTATGCTCCTGAAACTGTGTGTCGTCCAGTTATTGGGATTGCTGTTGGGATATTGCTGTATTTTACCTGCTGGAAACCTTGCCTGTGGATTTACTATTTACATGTTCCTGAGTCCCACTTGGATTATAAGTGGAGATACCCTGGGTAATATTGCATCTCCGCTACATTGGTGGTAGCGGTGGGATCCAGACTCACAGAGGAACAAGCATAAATGGAGTACGGATGGAGATTGATTTTGCCACACTAAAACGCTCCACGTTTAAAGACCTTCTGGAGGCAAGGGGTATACAAGCCAGCAATAAGACATTCAATTACCCGTTCATTACTGAACTGATGGTGGAGTATCGAATGGACGGCGATTTGGTTCCCGAACAGGGGAATTCGGGACAAACACCTGAACAAAGGGAGTTCCAGAGACAGGTACAATTTCGGCTGTCTTTCTATGGGGAACACCCTCCAACAGAGATTGTTTCAAAAACAATGACGGAGGTCCAGGAATTTATACTAAGGAGTCAAACAGCGGCCCCAGAACGCAGCTCTGCAGTAAATATGCCACAAGAAGGTAAGCCTAAAATACCGTACCAAGCTTTTAAAACATATGTGGAGGCAGAGGAAGATATAGACGCTTTCCTGCAAGATTTTGAGAGACTGTGTGCACTGCATAGAATCAGCGCAGAAGACTGGGTACCTATTTTGGCAGGGAGGTTAACTGGGAGGGCAGCTGAGGCATACCGTACTGTACCTAATGAAGAAATACGGAATTACAACAAGGTGAAAGAAATTATATTGGCCAGGTATGCTATAACACCAGAAGCATACCGGCGGAGATTCAGGGATTTAAAAAAGGTGGAGAAAGACTCACACGCAGAGTGGGCATGCAGACTACAACGAGCAGTCTTGGGGTGGGTGCAAGCGAGCAAGGCACGGTCTATGGAGGATGTATTGCAAATGGTACTGCTGGAGCAATTTTATGAAGGAGTAACCAGCGAGGTACAGGAGTGGGTAAGAGACAGAAACCCTACCTCCCTTACCGAAGCAGCCAGGAAGGCAGACGAGTACCTGGATGCACGCAGGCAGCAAAAACCTGCAGCTCCAAAAGTACCTTTTAAAACCTTTGGGGGGAACAACTACACACCAGCTCTACCAAGACCACTGCCACCACCCCCACCGCCAGCTGCACAGCCACGTTTTCGCCAGCCCACGTCGGGCCCTTGCCACCACTGCCAGAAATGGGGACACTATAAAAGGGAATGCCCCCAGCTGCGGGACCGTTCCACCTGGATTCGCCCCGGCCCACCACCACCACCGAGAGCAGCCGCAGCCCACCACTACCAGGACATCGTGGCCACACCGTATGGTTCAGCAGTGCCCATCACAACGGTAGAACAGTGGGAGGTACTGCACGAGGCGGACCCTGTCCAGGCTAATGCTGACAACCGCCAGCATCACAGGCAGACCGTGTATCTGGAGGGTAAAGCGGTTCAGGGGCTA